GCCCATTAACGTCTACACGGGAACAATGGCAAATGACCACCAGCTGATTACAGTTTCCCGTGGCTGGAATCTGCTCAAACCACATGTAATTGGTGTCATTTTTGTTCTAAATCAAATGAAATCGAGCAAAACGAGGCTATATGGCTATTTCTAAATTCTCCATGTGTGGTACTACAGATGTGTGTTTCAGCCCAATCGATGATGGTGTTGTTGATAGAGGGAATTAGTATTCAGCGCCGCAGATCTCCTGGAGGTACAACACACTGCTCTGGAAAAGGATTTTGGTTTTGGAGCCTGGAAAACGCTGGTGTGTGACTGAAATAATGAGTTTGGGTGCGACACAGCTCTATATTCCAGCTGAGAAATAACACACAGACATTTTATTCAAACTTTTTTAACCTTGACAAAACTTACAGAAAACACCACTAAAAGAACACTGTGTCTACTGTTTCTAAAAGGTTCTTTTTGCAAGTTTTACCCTTTTTTTACCTCCAAACCTCTGGTGAACGACAGAGTGCTGCTACAGTGGAGACAAGTCACATCCATGTCAGAGCGAGATATTATTCTTTTACATTTTAAAGAGTCAAGTTTCCAAAAGATAAAATATTACAGGGTTTTTCTGAGTGGAGTTTGCATGTTCTCCCCGTGTCTGCATAGGTTCCCTCCAGGTGCTACGGTTGGCATGCTCTTCCTGGTTGACGATCACGCTCCTGTCTCTGTGTGGAGTCAGAGACAAATGCCCACAACATTCGAAAAGCGCTTTGTGGCATAACATGGCCACATCAACGTTAATGTACCACGATCAGGAGTAAATGAAAAGATAGCTACTTTATTGATCCCGTACGAGAAATTCAGGTGCAAAAAATTGATCATTCTAAAAGCTAATAATAGTAATAATCAGAAACAGTCCTTCAGGTCACAGCAGCAGAGGTGGTTCAAACCATTTTCTCTGCTCTGGTCCAAAGTAAAATGATAAATGGACGGCACGGTGTGTGAGGGATAGCACCCAGGATGCGAGAGTGCTACCTGGGTTCGAATCCTGGTTGGAACAGGGCCTTTCTGAGTGGAGTTTGCATGTTCTCCCCGTGTCTGCGTAGGTTTCCTCCGGGTGCTGCGGTTTCCCCTACCACTAAAAACATGCACAATTGTCAGGATCTGCTCCCTGCTGTGTCTCTCCCTCCCCTTCTGTGTTTGTCTTGTGTCCACCTTCGTGGGCGTGGCTACACACCTGGCTCCACTTGCCACTCATCTCCAGCTGCATAAGAAGCCCACAATTGCCACAATTTGACTCTGGTCTGTGAAGGACTGTATATTATTAAAGAGTACTTACTACTATTACTACTTAAATGCTTCATGAGCATTTCTCAAAAAGTTAGCATTCCTCCAGTGGATTTTCTCCCGATCCACTTGGTTTGGACCATGAATCCTCTCTGGTCTGGTCTGCACCAGTGTAAAACCATGAATCCTCTCTGGTCTGGTCTGGACCAGTGTAAAACCATGAATCCTCTCTGCTCTGGTCTGGACTAGTGTAAAACCATGAATCCTCTCTGCTCTGGTCTGGACCAGTGTAAAACCATGAATCCTCTCTGCTCTGGTCTGGACCAGTGTAAAACCATGAATCCTCTCTGCTCTGGTCTGGACCAGTGTAAAACCATGAACACTGAACTGCAGCAACATCTCAGGCAGAAAAAAGCAAGAACAACAGTTGTAAAACACAAAATAACAACTGCTTCAGAGACACTTTGGACTCTGAAACTCTTCAAAAGTAAAAAGCAGTAACTTCAAAGGAAATATCTGCAGTGATAAATGAGGCGTGTGGAGCTCTCCTTTCTCTTCGGGGCGTGGCAGCAGTGGGTTGTTATCTGCTCAGAGATAACACAGACTGTCCTGGGATCAGCCCGTCCACCACAGCACATCATGGGGTCTCTGTCCCTGGAGCTGCAGACATGACATAACAACACATTCATAAAGACACATGTCCGGAATACTGATGTGGGCTAAGGGCTGCAACACTCTGGCTTCTCCTCTCACTCATTAAAGCTTCATCCTTGGCTCCCACTGAGATTGGCACTTTGTGAGGTGTGTTCCTTCAGTGACACCGCTCTCCCTGCACTTTTTTTTTTGGTTTTTCTCTTGTGCCAAACGTCACATTGTTAGAGACGATCTGAACTGTTTAGTTCCAAAAAGTGCTGATTTCCTGTTGGACTTTCCCTTCTAAACACAATCTGTGGACAGTCTTCTTCCTGCCCAAATGTGAATAAATTGGATCCATGAGCAACAGAATAATTCACTCTAATGGTCAGGGCATTCTGGGAGAAGATCCGTGTGTTTGACAGTGAGTGAGGACTGACGGCTGATGTCACAGAGCTGTCCATCCACTGTCACTCTGCCCTTTCAGGTCCTCAGCTCGGAGGTCTCAGGATTCTGCTTCTGTTTAGGTGAAAATATATTTGCTGTGAACCCAAGGGCGTAGGTTTGCGTGGGGACCATGGGGACATGTCCCCACCAATATTTGGTGAGGACTAAAAAGTCCCCACCAAAATGACATGATGTCCCGGGACCCGGACGGTCCGGGACACATGTCTTCTGTTTGTGCATACGTCGCGCCTCCTCCTCGCCTCCAGAGCAACAGCAGCAGCAGCACGTGACCCGTTCCGTTCTCTGCAGTGATTGGCTGTCTTCTTCAGCGCCAAACTGAAGCACTGAGCAACTGTTTAATTTTTAAAAGTTAGCCAGCGTGAAGCAAGTGTTTTTTTCGTTCCCTGAGCGTTGTAGCACGTGAGTAATCAGAGGATAGTACTGTAGATCTATTACCATTCAAAGTACTTACGTTATTTCTAATCTGTCAGCGCACTGTTTAATGTTCCGAGGAGCTCACACGGCACAGAGACAGAACAGAACTGGCTCCAATAAAGAAACAGGTTGGTTGAAAGGCTGAAAAAATACTTATTGTGCTCTTACTATCCAAAATGTATAAGTGGGTGTGTTGTGTGAATCAGGATAAACTAGGGATGAAAATATTCCACGGATCCACGATTTACAACCTTTATCTGCTGATAATGTAATTTCTGTGAAATGTGTGACAGCGGGCACTTGCTGTTATTTGCTCTAAGCACATTCAAGAGATGCACTCGAATGTGCACGTCCTGGTGCAGCTGCTGCCGCTTTGTAATGACAGCCGCGGCGCTCAGTGAAAGCACAGCTCTAACATGGTACCGAGCTCGGACCATATGCAGACAGAACCATGTTGCAAGTGCGGGTCTCCCTCGTATCTCCCCCGTTTCTCCCCTGTGTCTCTGACATGTCTCTCCCCTGACTCTTCCCAAAGCGCAACCAGCGCTCCCGAAATTAAAGCTCGGATACGTAAATTTTCCATTGCGTTAACGATGCATGCTGGTTGTGCGCAAAACACACCACAACAGGTCATTTAAGTTTTTATTTTGCATACTTGAGAGCCCTGTGAGTCATTACTTGCCTTTTTGGGTTGAGAGTGGAATAAAAAAAAGAAAATATAGAAAAATCCACACTGTTACTTATTGCCAAACTCTTGTTAACTCATTGTATTGAGAAATACTATGTAACTTTTGACATTGGCCAAGTTATATAAATGATTCTGCAGTTCATGTATATGAATGTCTGTTTTTGATTGTCTATACCTTCTTATATAATTTAGAAAAAATGCCACCTCCACAAATAAGATGATAAAAGATATCAGGAGCTTTTTTAACAGTTGGAAAGTAAGTAAGAGAAAGCACAAGTAATAGCAAATTATGAATTGTGATGATTAATCTTCTGTTAACATACATAACTGCTTCTCATTCAGTCTACAGCTGAGTTTAGTATAGAAGGCAACACACTATTGCAAATATAGTGTGTGATTACACAACAAATTCTGGGGGAGAAACTCTGGACCCCGTGTCAATGGGTGTAGACTCAGGTCGTAGTGAATGTCCCCACCAAGATTGGAACCAAACCTACACCATTGTGTGAACCTATAATACATTTATTTTACTAATAAATATTTTAACCAATACAGTACAAACTATGGCCTGGGGCCAAACTGCAGCTCTCAGTTCTGGCCCTTGGGCTTCTTGTGGCAATATATGGAGAAAATACTGTAGAGAACAGTGCAGAGTAAAAAACCCTCCTGCAGAATAAACTCCAGAAAGCTTCTAACGGTAAAAGGTGTAAAGGTTATACTTTTGAACCAAACACAAATGTGTTTTTCCCTCATGTAGTTTTGATCTGTGGAGGACACAGATGCTTCTGTCCACAGACATATATATACTGTATGTATATATGTATGTATGTATATATAATATATATATATATATATATATATATATATATATATATATATATATATATATATATATATATAATAAATTTGTTCCTTTAATCAATGTATTTTGTACCTGTTGTTGAAGATAACCCATGTGGGCGGAGCCTCCCGTTGTTAAAAGCTCACAGGTGAACCTCATCAGGGGGTCACACCCAAGGGACAGGATTGTTAGTTTTGCAAAATAAATCACTTTTGGTACCTTTTTTAATATGACTTCTACTGTCTCACTTTGACACTCAGGCCATATATATATAATTTATATATACAGTACAGTACAGTACAATACAGTACCGCCGGGCAACAGGTGTCACTCATTGATGTAACATAAAATACACAATATCAACACATTAAAACCTTGTTGTGAAGAAGCTTCTGATCTGAACGTCTGGGAAATATAAACTCTTCTTTAATAAATACATTTTTATCCACAGCTGACAGAAGAGAAGCAGTGTTTCCTTGGACTACATCCAATTACTCACACAACATGTATTCATACTTCATTAGTGTCTTGCCCAAGGACACAACTTCAGCTTGAAAATCATTATCATTGAAAATCATTGTGTTGCAAACTCTGCCATAGTTTTGCCAAAGCTGCTTCGCTCGTGTTGGATCCAGACTCAGGATCTGCTCGTGTTGGATCCAGACTCAGGATCCGCTCATGTTGGATCCAGACTCAGGATTCGCTTGTGTTGGATCCAGACTCAGGATTCGCTCGTGTTGGATCCAGACTCAGGATCTGCTCGTGTTGGATCCAGACTCAGGATCCGCTCATGTTGGATCCAGACTCAGGATTCGCTTGTGTTGGATCCAGACTCAGGATCCGCTCGTGTTGGATCCAGACTCAGGATTTGCTCGTGTTGGATCCAGACTCAGGATCTGCTCGTGTTGGATCCAGACTCAGGATCTGCTCGTGTTGGATCCAGACTCAGGATCCGCTCGTGTTGGATCCAGACTCAGGATTCGCTCGTGTTGGATCCAGACTCAGGATCCGCTCGTGTTGGATCCAGACTCAGGATCTGCTCGTGTTGGATCCAGACTCAGGATCTGCTCGTGTTGGATCCAGACTCAGGATCTGCTCGTGTTGGATCCAGACTCAGGATCCGCTCGTGTTGGATCCAGACTCAGGATCCGCTCGTGTTGGATCCAGACTCAGGATTTGCTCGTGTTGGATCCAGACTCAGGATCCGCTCGTGTTCGATCCAGACTCAGGATCCGCTCGTGTTGGATCCAGACTCAGGATTTGTTCGTGTTGGATCCAGACTCAGGATTTGCTTGTGTTGGATCCAGACTCAGGATTTGCTTGTGTTGGATCCAGACTCAGGATTTGCTCGTGTTGGATCCAGACTCAGGATCCGTTCGTGTTGGATCCAGACTCAGGATTCGTTCGTGTTGGATCCAGACTCAGGATCCGCTCGTGTTGGATCCAGACTCAGGATTTGCTCGTGTTAGATCCAGACTCAGGATCCGCTCGTGTTGGATCCAGACTCAGGATTTGCTCGTGTTGGATCCAGACTCAGGATTCGTTCGTGTTAGATCCAGACTCAGGATCCGTTCGTGTTGGATCCAGACTCAGGATTCGTTCGTGTTAGATCCAGACTCAGGATCCTGCAGAGTTTGCAGAAGATTGTGTCCAGAAATGTTTCAAACTAACACAATTTAAAATAATATAAATCATAAAGAAGTAGAGAATGTGAAATGGAAACAGTGAAGTGAAAACCACACAGTAAACATTTTATTCTTGAGTGGAAAATGAACCGGACGACCTTCTCTGGACCAAATGTGAGGAATGGAAAGTTTTTTTATAACAAACTCTGGTTCAGAACAAAAATACAATATACTGGAAAAATGAATGTATTTAATTAAATCAAGCTTTTCAGAGAAAAGTCTCAAATATCATAGAGTCGGAGTGAATCTAAGGAGCGGCAAAAAAACAACAAAAATAAACAAGTTTTTTCTGCTCAAATTCAGGTTATTTTCCATTTATTCAGTACAACCACATTAGAAAAACTTTGCAAGACGACCCCAGAGTTAGCCTGGTCGTACCACACCACTGTACTCATTTCATTTCATACTAAGGTCTGGATTGTCTCCATTGACTCCGTTAACAGGTGGGAGGGGCTAACTCTTATAACAAGAGCTAACTTGCAGATTGAAACCATTGGATCTGAGTTTACTGTGACGTATGTAATGAGCCCGAGTGAGTCTTTAGCATGTACCCTGTCTTTAGCATGTAGCCTAGCTTTAGCATGTAGCCTAGCTTTAGCATGTAGCCTAGCTTAAGCATGTAGCCTAGCTTTAGCCATCTCCTTTGCCACTAACGGAGCCCGTGGGGAGTAGAGCCTCAACATCTTTGCCTCAATGACATTTACTAAACATTCCTCTTGCTCCGGCTTCAGTTTCTTGATATTTGGATTGAACCAGAACAGATTATTTTACTATCGCATTCTCCGACAAACTACAACCAGCAAATTCAGCACAAACTCTGGACGTCACCGACACCGACCTACAACACCCGCCTCCCCCGCTCTCTGATTGGTCGGAGGAGATTCAACCGAGGAAACTGCAGCCACTAGGATCAGACCCAGACGTACATGTAGGAAATGATCATGGACCAGAGTTTACACATGGTAAGACCAGACGTACATGTAGGAAATGATCATGGACCAGAGTTTACACATGGTAAGACCAGACGTACATGTAGGAAATGACCATGGACCAGAGTTTACACATGGTAAGACCAGACGTACATGTAGGAAATGATCATGGACCAGAGTTTACACATGGTAAGACCAGACGTACATGTAGGAAATGACCATGGACCAGAGTTTACACATGGTAAGACCAGACGTACATGTAGGAAATGATCATGGACCAGAGTTTACACATGGTAAGACCAGACGTACATGTAGGAAATGACCATGGACCAGAGTTTACACATGGTACGACAGTTTCTCGAACGCAGACGTTGCCCGGTCGATCAGGTCCCACAGGATCAGGGCTGTTACTGAACCTAATGCTCTCGACAGTTCAGCCAATCAGAGCTTAGACACAACCCCCACGCTCCGAGGAGGCGAGGCGGGAAAAGTGTCCCCGGGGAAGAGACATAAAGCAGGATTAAGTCCAGAGTCAGAGTGTTCACCATGGAAACTCTGAAGAGGATGGGCTCCCAGTGTCATTAGTGCTGTTGTCATCGCTGCACTTTCATTAGCGAGCAACAAAGAGACCTGACATTTTAGGGATTAGACCTCAGAAAGTACAGCAACATGGCAGAATACACGGCTGTATGCATTTGAAGAAGCAGCACAGGTTAAAGCGTCAAAAATGCAGCAGTGTAGACCTTTTCGGAGGGAGGTTATAAAGACCATGGAAGTTTGCGTAGGTCACATGTGCCTGATAATGCTCATCTTGGTTTGTCAGGACATGTCTCTTTTTTTACCAAATGTTTCGAAAGCTATGACGGCTTTGGCTTTGACAGGTTTTATTTTGGCTGCTAGAGTCCTCTGATGAAAATGGTAAAGTCTGGACTGTCCGACTCACAGGGAGTGGGTTGTGTCCGTGACTGATATTGCATCATTTGAACCATAGCAAATTCACATAACTAAAAAAATCTTACTTTTATACCTGGTTCCAATGCTTTCAATCTGCAAAAGGAGTTAGCCCCTCCCACCTGTTAACGGAGCCAATGAAGCAAATCCAGACCTTAGTACAAATGAAATGAGTACCATGGTGTGGTGAGACCAGGCTAACAAACAGCAGCTAAATATTGACAATGATAAATGGCATGTCGTCCCACTTTCAATACACTTTGATGCAGAAACACAGTGGTGACCCTTGAGTTTGGGTCATAAATTGCCTTATTAGTTCTCGGTCACACACCATGTCCCACACATTTCAGGTCAATGGCTCGTGATGCGTTCGGGGGACCTGGGATATTTCAGCTGGCCCGTGCCCAAGCCTCCCTGCTTCAAAGGACTCTCCATCACTCTCCGCCGATGGAATATATTGACTGAGGCGGCATTACCAGGAGATTTATTACCACAATTTAGGTCAAAAAGTTGGACGACTTTTGAAAATGACTGGGGTGATTTTGCTTTGCTGGAAGAAAAAAGTGCTTGGTCATTCCCCGGTAATGAAACAGATATTGAACGACTGTAAAAGGAAGCTAGCTGCCCCGTGAACACAGATTGAAAGTGAGCTCGGGTTGAAAGTCTTCATAGACAGAGTAATCCTTTGAATCTCATTAAAGGCATTATTCCACAGAAGCAGAGAATGTTTGATAAAAGTGAAAGTGTTTGATGTCGGGCTTGGACCAAACCTCTCCCTGCTTCAGTGACAGCACAAAGACAGCCGCCCCGGACACTCGCATGGACCGAGAAAACTGTCAGAGTCGATGTGAGGTCAAATTTTCAAAACACTGCAAAAAACAGGGATGAAAAACAAGTCAAAAATCGCTCAAATACAACAAAACGTGTTTTACTCAGAGCACATTTTGACTTAGCCGTGAAACAAGATTATCCAATGAGACAAAGCAAAAAGATACAAGAAATGTCTCGCTTGGAATGAGAAAAAAAAAGCAAGTAGGGATGCCCCATAATGCTAATTACAACCAATAATGCTAATTGATAATCTCTTTTTTAAATTCCCTCCTGAATTGCCATTTTCTGATCAAATACAATAAATATATTAGTACCTCATCCTCCATCTGCCAGAGGCCCCTGGACTCTGTGGAGGAGGTGAGGGACAGGAGGCCCCTGGACTCTGTGGAGGAGGTGAAGGACAGGAGGCCCTTGGACTCTGTGGAGGAGGTGAAGGACAGGAGGCCCTTGGACTCTGTGGAGGAGGTGAAGGACAGGAGGCCCTTGGACTCTGTGGAGGAGGTGGACAGGAGGCCCCTGGACTCTGTGGAGGAGGTGAGGGACAGGAGGCCCCTGGACTCTGTGGAGGAGGTGAGGGACAGGAGGCCCCTGGACTCTGTGGAGGAGGTGAGGGACAGGAGGCCCCTGGACTCAGTGGAGGAGGTGAGGGACAGGAGGCCCCTGGACTCTGTGGAGGAGGTGAGGGACAGGAGGCCCCTGGACTCTGTGGAGAAGGAGCAGGGTCTTTATCCCCACTGCTGTCAGACTGTACAATAAGTCACTTTCAGTCACTTGCACTATGACTGAAAACCTGCACTGCTAATGACACTGTTTCTTTAATTGGCACTTTTTTAATGAACATAATTATCTCCTGCACAGACTATAGTTTCAGACGATCTGATTCTGTCTGTGCCAAATGTGAACTGAACATTTCTCCAGAGATCAATAAAAACTTATCTTAGTCTCGAGTGTTCCCTGGTTGTGTGTAAGTTCCCTGGTTGTGTGTTAAGTTCCCTGGTTGTGTGTAAGTTTCCTGGTTGTGTGTTAAGTTCCCTGTGTGTGTTTGATCCATGTCCAGAGAAGAGGACAATCATAGCATCGTGTTTATGACATTTTACAGTAATTCTTCTGATTTAGTCGAATAAACAACATTGAATTATTGACCGTTGCTGATATATTCTCTCATAGCTCACATTATTCAAACGGAGATCACTTGGATTCAGTAAATAAACAGGAGTCTTTGCGTCTCCCTGGTCTCCGTCGGTCACCTTTTCCTCTGATGTTCTCTTCTTTGCCACAACAGGCGAGTGGCAAACCTGGAATTATCACTTTGAGGGTTTTCGGTTCAGACATTGTAGGAGTTTTAGAAAATACAACTCAACCGCTCACACATATTAATGATTTATTTTGTTATGCTACATCTGGTCGTGTCCAATTTGAGAACTTAACTATTTTTGGAGTTTAGGGACGTTTCCCACAGTATTTTAAACATTGACTACATCTTTAAAATACATTCATATATGTATTCATTAGGGCCGGGACTTTAACGCGTTAATTAAGATAATTAGCGCATTCCAAAAATTGACGCATTTTTATCGTCCATTCATCCATCCATTTTCTTCCCCTTAATCCACTTCTGGGTCGGGGGGATGGCAGTCAGAGCTGCATCCAGTAGATTCAGATTCAGATTCATCAGATTCATTTATTTGCCATTTGCAGTAAAACCACATTGGAAAAACTGTGCAAGACTACCCCAGTGTGCACCAGCGTACCCAGTACACAGAGCACCAGCCCCTCACTGATCCTCCTGCAGGTGCTGAGTCCACAGGAGCTGAGATCTTTCAGTGGGGGCTTCAGGCAAAGTGGGGTTAAGTGTCTTGCCCAAGGACACAACGACAGCAGTCATCAGTGGGAGTCGTGACGTAGGTCTCGTGGGGGGCTCGAACCCACCATTTTAATTTTCATCTCCCTTTTTGCACCGCGGAACGTTTCTCACTGGATGAGTTTCAGACGGACCGATTGTACTGCAGCACCGCGCGACTTTTGGCTTGTTCTCCACAAATCTAACCTGAACCTCCGAATGACCGCACTGACTCAGGCTATATCCACACGAAGACAAAACGCTTATAATTTCAGAAACTTTTTCTGTAAACACGGAGTTAGCTCAGTAAATGTGTGCGTCCATATGAATGTAGTCAATACGCCTGAAAACGCTGTGAAACTATGCCAGACCTGTTGGTGGCGCTGTGACGCAATGACGGGATCAAGCCCAAACTTCCGTGACGGGAACTGGGCATGCGCAGAA